GACAGAAACATCCTGACAGAAGGATGTGGTGGAGAGAAGTTGCTCAACTCATTGGCAGCCAGGAAGAGAGCCGGAGAGAAGAGGCCAGGGACAAGAACACTCTCTTCCACCTCATACCCTTTGTGCCTGCTTCCTCCAGCTGGACCCTACTGCCTAGTGCACGTTCGGTATGAACCCATCAGTGGAAGAACCCACTGATGGGCTAGTGGACCAGTGCTCTAATCACCTTACGAGTTTCGTCTCTGAATACAGGAGCCTTTTTTTTTTTTTTTTTTTTGGAGGGGGCGTTTAAAATCCAAATCATGGCAACATTTTATTTCCACCATCTTTTACCAGGTCTAAACTCCAGAATACACCCAAATCCCAAAATATTACTTCAGTTTGACACCAGTCCTCATCTGGTGACAAAACCTGAACAAAACTGGTATGTAGCTCCTTGGAATCTTCGTTCTCGTTTGTGCAGATAGTCCTACATTTCACTACAAAAATATTGCATGGATTTGATTTTGTGGGGCTGGCCAGACCTTGCCAGTTGAGTTACACAATACACAACAGATGCTGTCTCTGAAATGTATAAGGTTCTGAGTTCCCAGGCAGCCTGTTCCAGGCTTGGGACACTCGAAAGGGGCTCTCCACAGGGATAGTTGTTTCAATGTGTGAGACCCAGAGTAATGTTTCCAGTACTTTAATTTTTTTTTATTTGATCTGTCATTTTCTTCTAACTCAAACGCAAGAGCTTCTAGTTTGTCTTGGTCTGAAATGTGCTTGTGACAGAATCCATTCTGGGTCCCCAACCCAATTACGTTTTGCCTCATTTCAGAGACTGCTGGCTCTGACCGAGGCCAGTCTGGTGTTCGTTGCTGTGATGTATTTTGGTATTGTGTACACAGGTTCACCGGCTGTGTCTCGACCTTGGAAAGGCTGTGGTATTTTACAGTGTGTGGTGACATTTATGGGCCCATTTGGACACCCACAAAGAGGTTGATTTCCATAGATTAAATGTCAAGTTTGAAATCGTCCAGGGTAATTGAATCCTTGAGCGTTGTTGACTTCCCTTCTCAACTGGGCCATTGACTGGGTGCTTGGTCCCATTATGAGCCCAGGAGCGCAGGCCAAACTGCTCAATGTGGAAAGGTCAGACTAGGGGGCGGGAGCACGGTGGGGAAATCTGATACCTACAAAAAAGCTGCCTTATTTTCATCTCCTTAAATAAAAGATGCATGCACTTAGTTGGTGAATAAATTACGGAAAACAGAAAACAAAACAAAACTCATCCATGGAGGTTACTTAGATGTTGGTTAGTTTAAAGTCTAACCATCTGTATATGACAGGAGCCAATGGGGTCAACAAATCCGTACTTCAATGTCTAAGTAGAAGTGGTTTTTAAGGGGCACAGACTTGGAGGAAGCTTCATTTAAATTAAAAGGCAGCATTGAAAGGATCACATCATTTCCACTTCTTAGGTGTTTTTTTTGTATGGAGGATTGAACCCAGGGTCTTCAAACTAAGTTACCCAGTTGCCTGGTCTGGGCTCCAACTCATAATCCTCCTGCCTCAGCCTCCCAGAGTGCTAGAAATATAGGTGTGTGCCACCATATCCAGTGGTTTCCTAGATATTTAAGTGCATTTGTGTGCTGATTGTCCAAAGGACAGGTTTGTCTTCAGATAAACCACAATTGGAGTCTTGATTTTTTTTGTACTCACAAGAACAGAGTTGAGCAGATCTAATGTGGGTACACTGTGCTCACTTCCTCTGCTGCAGGATGGGCTCCAGGAAGGGCCGGTTATCCCCAGAGACTTCTGCCTGCTGTCAGGATGTCTGGTCTTGCTGAAATTTCAGCTGTCCACACATTGGTGTGGCTGGTCAGCTTCACCCTGGTCATTCCCACTAACAGCATCTGCTGACAAGTCCCCCAAGAATCAGAGCTATCAGTCAGTGCAGACCAGTCAGAATTAAAGTCAGCTGACCAGCATGTTCCAGAAGATTCCAAATGGACCTGTTGGCTTCCTGTCTACACTTGGGATCCAGACAGAGCCACAGTCTTTCACTTTTTTGCTGTTTCTTTGTGCTGTCCAGCTGTTTTGATCACACAGATAACGTGGAAGAGGACTCCTAGGTACATTTTGTAATCAAGAATTAGAACAAATGAGGGTTGGGGAGGTAGCCCAGTGCCTAGCATGTGTTACTTACTCCCTGGGTTCCATACCGAGTACAAGAATAAGAGTGAGAGCAAACAGCACCTGCCATTGGAGGGTCGTCCCCAGCTAAGGTGGGAACTGCCGCTGGATGGGGATTGGTGATGCTGAGATGGAGATCAGCCAAGCCATGGCTCTTTCTGGCCACTTTGCTCTACTCTGGTGGGGACATCTGATCACAAGAAGAGACCACATTTCTTCAAGAGCAAATGTCTTGTCTACAGTGGTGGCCCAGATGCCAAAACATTGGGATCAAATAGGGACGGGCCTGGCCCAGCATCCGACTGTTTAGTCTACATCAGTGTAAACGTCTGGGTGACTGGAAACATCTCTGGAGTTGAAAGAGCCATGTGATCGCACACAGAGGCAGCCTGGGTCAGGAGAAATGAAAGACACATGGTCGGAGAAGAGCGTTTTCTAGGTGCATGGGGGTGGGGGGAGGGAGGAGACAAAATGTGTTTCAGCTGCGCTTGTCCCCTAGGGCTGCTGCACCAAAGTAACACAGACCGAGCGGCCTAAATGTATTCTTTCACCTCTCAGGAGGAGTCCAGAAGTCTGCAGTCAAAATTGGCAGGACCACGTTCCCTCTGAAATAGGGTGGGTCCTCTCCTGCCTCTGCCTAGCTTCGGAGGCTGCTGTAATTTTTAGCCTTCTTTGTCTGGTAGATGTGTCGCTCTGATGTGTGCCTCTGTCACACGGCTGCCCCTCCCTGTGTGGTCTTTCTCCTCATCTAAGGATATCGGGAAGACTGGGTCAAAAGCCCAGGGAGACCTCATTTCAGTTTAAACAGTCGCCCCTACAATGACCTCATTTCTGGATGATATCTAGAAATTCCTAGGTAATCTGTCTAGAAATAAGTTTATTGTATCAGGGTCCCCTGGAAGAACAGATTTAATATATAACAATAAATGATATTTAAAGGAAAAGTGGCCATCTGTACACGGGAGGGCTGGAGGATCCAGTTGAAATTCCATGGCCTGGAGCTCACTGCAGAGTCTGGTGTGAGTCTGTGTCGCAGAGCCCAAAGGTCCGCACTGGAAGGCTGAAGAGTCTGCAGTGGAAGCCTGGGAACCTGGAGACAAAAGTCCAAAGGCAATGGTGAAGACTGGAGGCCTCTAAACAGTAAGCGGGGCAGACCGCTCTCTTTCCCTTTTTATTCCATCTGAGCCATACGCCTACTGGTGGGTGCTTCCACGTGCGGGTGGGTCTTCCTCTTCAGTCTGTGGCCCACGCGTCAGTGGTCTAGAACACATCTAGAGCCGTGCCCCACTGATCTGCTTGGTCTTCTGTAATCCATTCAAGTCAACATCACAATTAATTATCGCGGTCACATTCATAAGAGCTGGAGCCCAGGACTTCTGTAGATCTTTTTGGGGTCACCATGGTCAGAGGTGATGACAAGATTCTTGAATGGCTGTCCCTGTATGTGCTGGCTCTTCCAGGCTGAGAAGCCCATTAAAACCCGAATTGCCCACTGTAGGGCTGGGAGGCAGGGAGAAGCCTTTTGACTTGTGGTCTATCCTCAGCCCCAAGCGGCTGGCTGTAAAAGTATTGGCATCTGGCTCTCAGGGGTAAGAAGACTGGTCTCGAATCACACTTTGGAGACTTCTACCAAGAACAGTGTCTCTGAGTAAGAGAAGCTTCTCTACGGGGGCTTCTGGGGTTGGGAGGCTCTGAGCCAGAGCTTATGGGGATGGTACTGATATCCCAACAGTCACAGAATCCCAGTAGAAGTGGGTCGGGGAGCTGAGGCCGGTATTCAAGGCTGTGGATGACCCAAGGCCCTCAAAGGATCCTGGGAGGGGATTCCTGCCAATAGGAAGCCTGACTTACCACAGGAGGGAGGGACTGTGACAGTTAATCTTCATCATTAACTTGGTTGGATGAAGAGACGCCTCAAAAGTGATCGACTGTGAGGAGACTAACCTCACCAGTGGATGAACCCGTTGATGAGTTCGTTGATGAAGGGGTATTAGGAAGTGGGGCCTCATTGGAAGTAGGTCACTGGGGGTGCACCTTTGCAGGTGTGCCTTTTCCTAGGCCCTTCCCTTCTCTCTGGTTCCTGGTTGCCACGAGTGGAGCAGCTCCCCTCACCACGCCCTTCACCGGTGATGTTCTGGCCTTGGAGCCAGCTGACCATGGACTGAAAACCCCGAAATAATGAACCAAGATAAATGCATCCTTTAAGTTTTATGTCAGATATTTTGTCCCAGCAACAGAAAGGTGGCAATGTGTGTGCTCTCAGAAATGGACCAGCGCCAGATTCCCCAGATTGCCACATACTCACCCCTCTGCCACATTTTGGGGTCCATTCAAGAGGCCCGAGGACATGCTGCATTTTCCTCTTTGGCCACATGGATACCCCCATTCTGCACCCCTTATTTGAGGACCGGGAGGAAAGCTACAGAGCTAGGAAGGGATAGATATAAAATACTAACCAAGGAGTTGATTGTGGGGTCAAGAAAGCACATGTTGGGCAGCCTGGCACTGTCTCTGCCAGGGTAGGGAGCCCTGGGCTGGCCAGGAGGGTGGTGGTCTTGGTTCCCTGGGGAAACCCTTCTGGAGATCTCTGCTGGACAGCACACTTGGGCTCATGTTTGCCCTTGAAACTGTTGACTAACTGCAAATGTCTCAGCAAAGAGGGGACACTGGGGACACGTAGAATGAGCCAGGACCAGGGTTCAGTCTACAGAACTGAAAAAAAAAAAGACCTAGACAAATATTTCTAAAATGAAATCACAACCATTAAAAAAAAAAACCCCATAGAGTACTTAGAAATTCCCAAGGTATCAAAACACACACACACACACACACACAAATCAGGGCATCTGTTTTGCCTTATTCATTACACCAGTCAAGAGCCAGTTTTACATGAGCATTGGGAAGGATGGAGCCAGGCTGTGTTCTTTGCTGCATCCCGTGGGAGAAGATGCGGGGACAGAGACCTCCGTGACATGGGGTGGGGATTCTTCCTCCCCGCAGAGCACCTGGTGGCCCCTTCCCTGCCCAGGCGGAGGTCAGTGGATGCCCTGCTCCGGCCAGCCCAGCCCCCGGGCGTAGGCTCCTTTGCAGCTGCGGATCGCACTGTCGTGTTCCAGGCACTTGTTGAGGCCCCGCACGGCGGACCGCCAGCCGATGAAGCCCTGGGTCGTCTGCGGGACTGTGGGGGACGGGAGGACCTGGAGGGAAATGCAGGGGTTAGTCACCCCGGGCAGCAGTGACAGAGCGCTGTCCTTAGGAAAAGTCCCCAGGCGTGGCGCAAAAGACAGAGAAAAGCCAGCCGTGGTGAATGTGTGCTGGGAACAAACACGTTCCAGCGGCAGGCAGCCGAGTGAGGGTGGGCTTTCCTTGAAGTCGTCAATGTGGAGCATGTTTCTTTATCTTGTAAGGCTTAGCATATTTAATTCCCGATCCCCAGGTCCCAGGTAAGTTAATTTTTATTTTGCAAAAAAGAGCAAAGAAAGGGTCGGGGATTTAGCTCAGTGGTTCTGTTGCCTGCCTCCCAAGCGCAAGGTCCCGAGTTCCATCCCCAGGTAACAAAAAAACAGAAGCAAAAAGAAAGGTAAGGCAGAGAAATATTAAAAACAATAGTCCTCACTGCCTTTTATAAAATATATGACCATACTGTCACACGGAGTTCTGCCAGTTATAAGTCAGGTTTTAATTAGAAGACTGTGACACACACACACACACACACACACACACACACACACATTAAACCATAGAGACCACAGGAACGCAGAGCAACTGAATTGAATTAAAAAACCAAAATGCAAACCAGCTTCTGTCTGAAAGGAAAAAGCACAGCTTCATTTGTCAATTCCTGGGGCAGTTTTGAAATTCTTGGCAAAGGAGGGCAAACATTTTAGGCACGTTCCCTCTCCTTTTAAAATCATCTGTTTGGGGAAAGCATTTGGACAAAGTCAGCAGGAAGGAACATTCGTTGTAACAGAAGAACTGAGATGGCGCTGTCACACACTGGGGTCTTGAGTTTACCGCTGCAGCGAGAATCCCTGGCCAGGCCGAGGCCAAGGGGAAGGGATGGGCGCACTGGCTGAGACTTTGGGACCCAAAGTGTGCGCTTGCAGGGGCCTGAACATCAGCCTGGAGAGACCACAGGTGGGAGTAGCGGGCACAGAGAGCAGAGGGACAGAGTATCCTTGTGCCAGCTATGGACAGAGCTTTGCGGAAGGGAAGCTGTCCTAATGGTGGCCTGTCCAGGCGGCTCTTGGGAGCACACAAGTTGGCTTTCAGGTCTCTATACAAGCTGCAATCCGCCCGGAGATGCCACACTCCGCTCTCTGGAGTGGCATAGAGGGGAAAGCACCACTGCTTATCAGGGCCTCGGGGGAGTATGAGCGGCACTGCAATTAACCTGTAGAAAGCGCACCTGAAAACACCCTCTGACCGGACCGCCTGCCCCTGGCCTGGACCCTTAGAGACCCTAAGGTCTGTTTGCGTCTGCAGCAGCATGTGGAAGTCCTGGGCACAGCCGGAAATGATTGGTCACAAACGATCACCCACTGGCCGACTCCATACCCTGGAGCAGGTGCAGCTGGCAGCTCTGTGTGTGCAGGGATGCAGCAGCTTCTGAGTCAGCTTCTAAGTGACAAAGGTGCAGAAAAGTATGGAAACTGTGGTCCGAGTTGGGCAATAAGAAAGCAGGTTAGGGGCCACCACATATGTGTCTGTACGTGTTCTATCTAGGGAAAATGAGGACAGCGTTTCCCAGCAGTGTGAGGGAGGTGGCTGCTACTAGAACACTCTTCTGGGTACTCAGGTCACCTGTTAAAAATGAACATAGTTTTAGCTGGGTGTGGTCCTGGCTACTTGGGAGGCTGAGGCAGGAGCTTGCAAGTTCAAGGCCAGCCTGTGTAACAGCCTTTGTCTCTAAAGTGAATGAATGAATAAATAAAATGGAAAGGGCTGAGGATATAGCCTAATAGTAGAGCACTTGCCTAGCATATTCAGTCCTCAGTACCACACACACACACGCACACACACACTGGGGAATGTATCCTTAAAGGACCCAGTGAGGGAGAAAAAGGAAACCATATCCCACTTCTTGGGTGAAGATAGAAGTGCAGAGCAAGGCAGAGGCTAAATAGCCTTCTCACCTCGACCAGGGTCTTTGTCCCCCTGGTACTGTCTGATGCATATGGCATAGCTTCTGACCCTCGCAGCACAGGACACTGACCAAGCAGGAGGAAACAATGGTTCCCGTGGTCTCCAGGAGGCTGCTCTGCTCTTGTGTCTGCAGCAGGGGGATGACTCTCATCTCAGCTGCCACCCATGAGCAGACACTGGGGCCATTAGCGGCAGAAGGAAAGGGTGCAGGCTGACCACAGGAGAATCATCTGCAGGGTCAGCTGGTGCTGAGAGACAGCGGATGTGAGCTGGAGCCCTTTCCATTGTGCTCTCTTCTGGGTGGAGGTGAGGAGTTGGTGGGACTAAAACGCAGCACCGGAAAATGATCAGCCTCACTCCGCGTCCCCCATTCTCCTGTTGTCTGCCAGCTTCACTGACTGCTCTGGCTCACAGGACCAGCTTTCTGGGTGTGTGCACCACCCAGCACACATAGACAGTGACTGACCGGCTGTCTACAGGGTGTTCCTCTCAAACTGGAACCACCTGGATGTCCAGGGTTAGGAGACAGTTAAACGAATTATGGGAGTGAGACAGGTTAGGAGGACCTGACCTTCCCCAAAGGATACTTTTCCTTTTTTCTTTGCAAAAGCATTGGCCAAGAGTAAATGCTGGAGTTTACTTTCAAAAGACACTAACTTCATGCTGAATTTTGGATTCACCTGAGAATCAAGGTTTCCAGTTTCTGTAGTTGATACATAGCAAGCAAAGTTCTTTGCACCCAGATAATCATACAAATGTTTTCACTTCCTATCAAAGTTTAAGAAATATCTTTTCCTGTTTTTTCCATTTTAAACAGCAGAAGCCACCAGCGACTGTTGAGAGCAGCTGCCTGCGGCCTGGCTGCTTGACTGAGAGTGTTTGGCTGTGATGGTCACCATTACCCTGAGGAGTGGCCGGAAAGAGTGCTGTGTGTGAGACAGAGGTCATGTCGTGGCTCCCAGCCCTGACTCCGGCTGTGCTATGGTTATCACTGGTGCCCATCTCTTCTGTAGAGACTGCAGCCTCAGCCCCACTGCTGTAAGGGCACCGGGGAGCTGCTGGCTCTGGCTTCTGGGAAGCTTGCAGGAAGAGACCAGGCACTGCAAGCTCCGGCTGCTGAGAGCTGTAGCCTCTCCAGGCTCACAGCTGAGACACTAAGAGCAAGAGCTGCTGGCACTCAAGGCTTTGAGCTATAACCCTAAGAGCAGAGTCACAGCACTCAGATATCAGAGCTGTCAACACGAGGTTCTAAAAGAGCTGCACTTTGCCTGTTAGCACTTTCATCCAAATTGAGCCAAACAATCTCAAGATAACAGAATAGGAGGTCTCTCTTTTGGAGGCAATACAGACATTGATAATGAGTAGGAGTGCTATTTCTGACTCCTAGGACAGACATTCAGGATGTATTGATAAGTGATGACAGCAGGCGACACAGTAGCCCGTGTAGTTTGATTTTCAAATACATATTTATACATATAAATAAGTGTTGCCCTCACACATGTGAGTGGTCAGGAATAGCATTTCAGAGCAGCCCCCCCCGCCCCTCCCCGGAGCCATTCAGCCATCAGCACCTTCAGCTTCTGCATCTGTGCGATGGGCTCGATGGCGATAGTGTCCGCCTGCTAAGGCTGGGAGTGGAATGAGATGAGGGACCTGCATGAGACACGGCACAGTGAGAAGCTAAGAGCTGCCAGTCAGGAGCTGGTGTTTACTAGGTGGCCACTCTAACGAGTGCAGCGATGCCTGGGAAAACCTCCAGAAGGAGCACCCAAAATGTTCACCATGGATAAGAGTGCATATGGGTGTTTTAGTTACCTTTATAGGTACACACAGACACACATTCTTTGATGGTGCTAAGGCTCGAATGCATTGCCTTCACACAGAGCTACATCCGCAGCACTTTTTAAAATTCTTGTTTAGAGACAGGGTCTCTCTAAGTTGCTAAGGTATCCAGGCTTGGAACTGTGATCCTCCCATCTGGACCTCCCAGAGTACTGCCATGCCCAGCATTAAACACTTTTTAAAAACTATAGCTCCATATTGTCTTATAACCAGGGGGAGGGAAACCCTCAATGCAGCTCTACAAAGTCCCCCTAACTCCTCCTCCCCTCCCTTGCTCTCCCTCCCTCCTTCCTTTCTCTCACTCAGAGATACATAGAGACCAAGTGCTCTCCATGTGTCAGCCACCCCCTCACACTTCAGACCCCAGAAGGGGTCAGGAAAAGGAAATCCACAGATCTTAAAGCCCTTGGTGCTGCTCCTTCGTTCTGAAGTTTCATCAGCACAGACCTTCTCTGCAGTCGGCAGAAGCAGAATCCAGACCCAGAGACAATTGTGGGAAGGGAAGCCCTTGGACATACAAAGCTTGATGGATCACGTCCAGAGGCACCTGGCCCCTGTCCACAGCTGAGTGTGTCTCCGGGGGACACTGGTCTCCTGTGGAGGTGCTCGGCCACTTCTGACCCTTCCTCACCTGCCCTCCATTCTCTGCTCTGCAGCCAGAATGACCCTTCAATTGGCGCTCGCTCCATGCCACGGCTCTGCTCAGAACAGTGGCCTTGGCTGTAGATAGACTCCAGCCCCAACTCCTCCTGGCCTCAGAGGTCCACAGGATCTGCCCCACCCTCTTCTCCAGCACACCCTCTCCCCACTCTCTGGCCTCCAATCCAGCTCTCTAAGCTCTAGCTATGGTCACCATCCTTTGCTTTTGTTCTGCTTCAGGGCTTTTGGGTGCTGTTCCCTCTACCTGGAATGCTGCTCCCAGAGGCAGCCCCTTGCCATTCTTTAGTCCGCAGCTCAGCAGGTATCTCACAGGAAGCCTGCGTGACCTGCCCATCCTGTTCCAGATCACACCACCACCCATTACCTCCATGGTGTCTAGCACCATGAGTGACAGCTTTGTTGATTTTCATGTCAATTCCTCAGCCCAGATGGTGGGCTCCGGTTTTGTCTTCTTGTTCATTAGTTTGTCTAACCACACACCTGGATGATGACTGTCAGCAGCACCCCCCAAAATGCTCAGCCCTGTTCCCAGCCCTTCACGTGCCTTGTCCCCGCCGGACCTGATAGCACTCACCATAGGAGGTGCTCCACTCACAGTGGTACCAGAGGACATGGAGACAGAAAGGCCAAGCCTCTCACCTGCCACCACGCAGGAAGGTGATCAGCAAACCAGGACTTGGGCTCAGGTCTCATTCCAGAGCTTGAGCCTCACCTGCCCTGTTTTCCTGATCAGCTCCTGTAAATATTTGCTGTGAGAAGGGGTGGAGCCCCAGGTCCCTGGCTTCCCTCTGTCTGCAGAGCAGGTGGCTGTGGCCCCTGCTGGTCTACAGATATTTCACCTGATGTGATTCTAGCATCTGGGTTTGGAAAGGGCCCAGACTCAGGACTCTGCATGCTGCTCACCACAGTACCCTCCTCTCTGAGTTCAAAGTGATCCCAATTGTTGCTGGGGCTCATTTCTTGGGGAAATGAGAATTAAAAAATGACTTTTCTAACCTTGATGTATTTCTCCACAGGAGTCACTGGCCGGATGTGGAAGTGTTCAGGAAGCTCAACTTTTGGCTTTGGGCTGCGGGGTTCTTCTTTACCCTGGATCAACTGAAACAGAGTGCAGAGATGGGAAACCTTAGACTGAAGCTTGGGGACATGGTCTCCCCATCATCGCCCCCAAAGATCACATCTGACCTTTGTCAAAAGTGGGCTTGGAACATTAGGTGGATCTGGTCCCAATGACACAGCTACTCCTGCAGGGTGGGCCCTGCCTGCTCAGCCTGGAGCCATGATTAACTGCTACCCCTCCTATGGCTCACTGCAGCCTAATTTATATCACTGTGTAGTGACTCGAGAAAACTCTACAGGTTATGGACTCAAATTAAAACATGCCAGCAAGGTTTCAGGACCAATCTTTCAAATCATAAAGGAGAGCCCCATCCCCCCTTTGAATTCGTAAAGCAATTTTGAACTCTTTGAAAACCCAATTTAATTACACATAAAGAATATTAATATACTCATTTTATGCATATTAGAGCAATAAGGCCTCATTTTTATGCGTACTATTTTAAATTGTGTAATCCTCTAAGAATTAGACAAAATACTCAAGAAGAATGGCATCATTTCAAAGCTAGCAGGGTGAAGTGGATTACAGATGGAGTCCCCACCACCTTGAAGCACGAATATTTTGACTTAACCTGTCTTTTAGTGCTACACCCTTCCAGAGAGTGTGGCTTCCTTGCAGTCTGGCCACAGATACTTTGAGAGGTCACCAAGCGACCACGGCCCTGTGGAGACCCACGCTGACAGTCTGGGTATCTGTAGAGTGGCTTCATAAGTCAGAGACACTTATTCTAGGCCTAGAAGATTTCATTTGAACATCTAGGTTTTGGGACTCTCTGAAACACTTGCAATATATAATTGGCCTTCGTATCTCATAGCACTTGTCTGGGCTGACGGTGGCTGCCTCTTTGGACAGGGCAAATACTCTCTGCCAGCATTCCCACCTATCTCTGCTAATTATGCTTGGCCCCTTCTCCCGTTTCTGTTCCATCTGGTCCCTGCAGACTCTGGTCCCTGCTTTAGCGCATATCCATTGGATCTTCACAATAGTCCTTCACAGATCGCCTGGCCTATCAGTTTAACAGGGGTTCACCTACCTTCTAACTCCTCCTGTACTCTCACTAGCACGGTTAAGCAGATGAGCACCATTGCCCCATTTCACAGGTGGGAAGTCTGAGGTCAGGTGGCCATGGAGTTAAACCATGGCACATTCTCCAGTGGTTGTGTGACTTTGCAGTTCTTTGAGCTCAGTTTCCTAACCTGCAATGTGGGCACAGAGCAGCAGCTCTTACTCAGATCAAGTGGGCTGGTTCTGAGGAAGCACGGATCCCACAGCAAGTGCTCAGTCACTTGTGAAAGGAAGGAACCTCCCAGCTTCAGCGTGACCTTTGCCTTTTACACATTCCGTCTTATTCTGGCAAATGATACACTTACTGTCCCCAGCCACTGACACAATAAACTTGGGGCTCATCAAATTTACATTTACCTCCTCCAGGGGTGTTGCCAAAAACCCCCAGTTCTGGGCCCAGTTTTTCCGTGCTTCAGATTCAGCCTTGAGGCAGTATCTCCTGCAAAGGAAAGATCCCAGGTGCTGAGCAACATCTGAAAAGTCTCAAGCTAAAAACTGTTAAGAGGATGTAACGTTTTGCATTCTTGGGGCATAGCGTTGGGATCGTGGTTCTGCCAGGGTGGATCTGGGAGCCAGCACCCAGGGTTGAGCACCCCCCACCAGGTCAGGTGGTCCCCACTCTGAGGCAGAAGGCACCGGAGCAGCTGACTAGATCTGCCGGCTCTGCCTGAGGGGTTGACTTGTTAGTAGATGACACTGGATGCTTGTTTCACAGCCTACGTGACACACGTTAATTCTGTACATACCCTTGTCCTCAGGGGTCAAGGAGCAGCATGACCTTGACCCCCAGTCCCTCGTACTGCCTGCACCCCAGGGGCCTGTATCCTGCCCTAAGCTTCTGCTGTTGCAGAATTCCCACATAGCTACTTGTCAGCTAAGTTGAGCTGCTGTCGACAAACTGGTGTGTCACACTTCACACACATCTCGTTAAACATTTACTCATTTTGAGTTTTCAAGTTCCTTATATTTTGGAATCAGTGTCTGCAGCCCCCCCCATCCAGATGGTTTTGGACACCGCAGTCTAAGGCTTAACAGGAAGACCTCTGAGTGGGATTGTGATTTTGAAGGGTGGGTAGGAGTTCGCGTGGTGGAGAAGGGGCAAGGCGAGGAAGAGGGCATGGATCTATGGTAGTGTTTCCTACTGAGAGTACTTGGGTGAAGATAAAGATTAAAAAAAAAAGATCAAGTTGTGTATTTCATGCCAAACCATGGTTTTCCATTTATGAGAGTGATGTAAAGTTTTCTATAAAAATAAATGTATTAAGTGAAACAGTCAAGTTAAGCACAAATATAAAGTGATTAATCAAGGTGTTACAAGGAAATGATAAAATCGCAGAGATGTTAAATGGGATAATTGAAGTAAAGTAAGCAATTATACTGAGTTGTTACTAAAACTTTACTTGCATCTAAATTAGCAACTTCAAAGGAATGGAATACTATTCAGCGATCCAATAGAATGCGGATTAAGAGCATCCATTACAAGTGTCTGCAGAACGTAACTCATAGAATGGATCTTTTTAAATTTAAATTTTGTTATTACTTAGAAATCCAGAAAAATGGAGAGATAAAGTACATACATATCGCTAATTCAAGTTGAACAAATATTAACATTTTCGTTTTTGTTTGTTTCTTTTCTTTTTTATTGTAAAGTGTGGTGAATCTGAAGAATGAGAAAACATCTTAATTGGCCCTCGGCAAACAAACCTGGAGGACTGCTGAGAAATTTTTTAATCTCTTGGTGGGCTTGGAGGGAAGAGGAGATTGAGAGGTCGCTCAGGCGCCCCTAGCACTGCCGCCTCTCCTCAAGGTCTTTGTCACAGAGAATCCCTCCAGCACCCACGGCTCGACTATCTCGGGGATGTAGTGGGGAAACTGAGGCCGTCAGGTGTGCACTCTCCAGGGGAGGACGGCCCAATCCACAGGGATAGAGAATCCGGAAATGTTACCAGATCTCGTCCTGGGCCACAAGGTTCATGCGCTGTGCTGCCTCCGTGCTGATCGTTTTCCCTGCCATGGGCCCGAGGTCTCCTCACACCCAGCGAGCTGAGGTCGGGGCTCAGCGTCTCTCGTCGCTAGGGAGATCGGTTGCTAGGGAGACCGAGTTCCAAGCGCGGGAGGCGTCAGCCGCACTTGGAGGGGGTGGGGCCGCCGGGAGCAGGAAGACGCTTCTAGGGGGCTTCGCTTCCTGTGCTAGCTCTGAGCCGTGGGTCCATCACCCGCACACCTGTCCCTCCGAAGGAGACCCCTAAGCGGGCACCTCCGACCTCTTTTACGATTTAAACCTGTCACAGAAGCACTGCGCACCTTCCAGCGCGCGGAATCCAAGTGCGCAAAGCTTAGTGAAGTGGGGCCGGGAGCATCGCTGCCCAGAGATTGGGAAGCAGCAATTTCAAGCCGCCCCTAGAGGCTGTGACCACCTTCCTGCTCTGCCCTGTCTCCGCTCTGTGTAGACATCAGTCTGGCCACTGTTTTGGGTACAAGCATCAGGACGGTCTCCTTCCTGCTTCCTTGGCTGGGTGTCACGTCTGGCGGTCCCTCGCGGATGCCCCACTGTGTCCTATCCACTCCTGAACAGTGTCATGTTCCGCGGGCTGGAGAAGGCCCTGCTGTGAGTGTGACTGCACGTCTCTTTGGAGTAGTAGAGTCCACATTTCTGCTGGTCTCCACTCTTGGTGACGACTCCGAGTGAAATTCACACTTCGTCTCACCCGTAGGCCCCAGAGCCCCACACTCCCTCTTTCGTGCCCATCAGCACTGACCAAGGTTTGGTGGTCAGCTCTCTGACCACAGAGTCAAGGGTCCGGGACTGAAAAGTGGTCCTGAGACGTCAGCGAGGGGACCCACTGCACAGAGCCGAGATAGTGTTCTGGCTCAGTGGCCAGGAGACACACAGGCGTCTGGTCCTCAGTGGGCCGAGTGAGCAGTGGCCGAGTGCCTTGGTGGAGGCTTTCCAGACCACTGCTGAGGCCCCTGGCTGGTGTTTCCACATCTCAGATGTGCAGGCTCTCCTGGGTCTGTCCCCGGCCCCTCCCTTCCCACCCATGTGGGCCTCCCTGCCATATCCTCTGAGGTGACTCTCGTGCCAGTCCCAGAGCTGCTCTTCTTGGCCGGTGTCAAGGGGCCTGGCAAAAGGCCCAGACCGAGACCTCCCAACTGCTCACCCCGTCAGGTGATCCACAGGCCAGGCAGGGCTGGATGGACCAACAGTGACTCGGTGTGTGTCCAGGGCTGAGCTGGGGAAGGGGGAAAAACAAGAACCAAGGTCTGTTGATGTAAAGGTACGAGGGCCCAGTGATGAATGTAACTGTACTGTAATACCTAAAATATACCAACTTAATGGGGGGAAAAAAAAGCTAGCCGGGGCTGGAGAGTTCTCTGGAAATGGAAGGGCGAGATCTCTGCCTTCTGAAGGATGCATGAATGTGCCAGTCCCGTCTATTGTCCTCAGAAAGAGCTGTGCAGGACGCTCTGGGGGCCGCCTCCAGGACCAGAAGTGGGTACAGAGTCGAGGTTAATGGCCAGGGTTTGGGTTCGGGTGTGCACTCAGGTCCTGACACTGCTGGATACCTTCTCAGAGACCCTGGAGAGGTTGTCTGCCTTCTCCAAACCCTTGGTTCTTCACCTGTAAAATGAAATGATGATCGCACCACCTTACCACAGGGCTCTCAGAGGTCATCAGGAGGGACTGCTGGGTGCAGCCGGTGGAGGCTGTGCTGCTGTCTGGCTTAGGCAGCTGCCTCGCTTGGGTTCGGTGTGGGAGGTGGATTTGGGTGGAGCCAGGGCTTGTTCCTGGGGCACGTCAGGGCTGAAGAAGAGGCTGTACACGGCTGGTGCTTAGTTTCTTCTCTGCTCAGTGTAGAGAGGAGCCAGAGCCACCCTTGCTGTGGAGCCCTGGCCTCAAAGGCTGAGCTCTCTTCCTCAGGGAAGATGCCCTATGAAAGAAGGGCTCTAGTTCTCTCTTTAGACCCCCAGGACTCCTCGTTCATGGTGACTGTCATCGGCTGACTTTGGCCGTGAACCTATCTGGCAAAGGAGAGCTGGGAAGAAGCCCGGGCTGGCCGTTTCCAGGGTGGTGCCTGTAAGAGGCAGAGTCTTTCCCATCATGGTAGCACTTAGCAACATGCCAGGCAGCTGAAGCCCACAGTGGACAGAACAGGTAGGGCCTCATAGCATGCGTCTCCTGACCCTCACTGATGCTTCTGTTCTGACCGGTGGGTCAAGGGCGTGAGCAGCCTATGGAGGGGCAGCAGACTGGCCCTGTCCGGTCCAGGGGGCCCTCATCAACCTTCTCCTTGGAAAGCGGCCGGGTGCTCCTCTTCCTCCTGTTGGACTTCCTCCCCTAGCCCACAGGCGGCCAGCGAATTGGCACAGGGGATGCCCAGGCACATTTGATTTTTCACGAGACACACATCTCTGCTCCACTTCTGAGAAGTTATTGTTGGACTAAAATTCAAATTATCTGGGTGCTTTGTCCTTCTCTGCCCACCCAGGCCCATGAATGTCCTGGCTGGCTCCTCTCCCACCCTCAGCAAGACCTGCACCCACACACGTTGCTCGCCGTGGTAGTGCTGAGCCCTGCTGGTCTGCATTTTCTTTGATTTCTGCATCCTTTCCTTTGTTCTGGTTCTAAGGGTCAAAACCCCTTCTCTCTGAATTGTGAAACAAAATTCACAGGCCTCTGGCAGACAATTTCTTCACCTAATACTTGTTTTTCCCTTGGCAAAATTGTTTTCCAGCATAGATTTCAAACAGGAAGGGTGGCAAAAGAAAAAAGGACTGTGATGCTCACTGGTGATATGTGGAAAACTAAGAAAATATTTACAGTGTGCAGAAGGTTCTCCGTGTTCCCATATATTAATATTTTTGGCCCTCTCTCAAGTCTCTGGGACAGTTTATTTTTTATTTTTATTTTTTTTCATTTTGCTGTTGCTTTATAAAGCATTTCGATAACTAGAGCCAACTGCCGCTCTCTGAGTTTTTAAAGCTTAAACAATTTTTTATTTGATTTTTTTTTTTCCACCAAAGAGGGCTTTGTGCAGGGAAGGGTTCCTGCCTACCGCTGTGCCTTTCCCACAGCATGGGTGATTATTATTACCTCAGCAGCCCAGCAAAGGCACGAAGGCTTGGGGGGAAAGTGCCCCGCTGCAGGGAGTGATTTTGGTTTAAGGAACTCAAAAGCTCTCTCTTTACACATCTTTTAGGCTCCCTGCACCACAGCCCAAGAGCTCTCGCTGTGCTTCATAGACGCCTACAGCAACAATTCGCATCATTCTTGGGGGCTTATTGAAGGAAAAAGCTGTCCCCTCCCACAGCATCCCCGAAACACTCCTGTGGCTTTTGATCTAATTGTCAATTGCTGCTCCAGTAGCTGGCCCCCTCCCCACAGGCTGCAGCCCAGAGCAGGAGGGAGAGTGAGACCACCTTTGGCTCCCTTGGCTGGCCCAGCCTGGGTGCCCAGAGGCTGCCTGCCAGCTCCTCAGGGGAAGCCACGATGTCCCTGCACTGCAGGAGAGAAGACCCTCACCGAGAGTGTGTGCAGCCTGCAAGGTTTCCAGGCAGCTTTAAGTCACAAATACTGAATTTGAAAGGGGAATTGAGAGCAGTAGTTATCTACGATTGCAGAGATTTTTCTTTGGCTGGGCGTGCAGTGGGGAGAGCTTTGCAGCCTGGGAAAAGATATGGCCCAGAGGGTCAGGCAGGGGCTTAGAAGGGGGCAGAGGGAGATGGTTTCCAGGTCTGTTGCTTAAGACGACAGCCTCTTCACTTACCGGCTCAGTGGCAGCAGGACTGCAGCAGGGCAGTCTTGCACCACTACACGCTCATTCATTCACCGCAGCAAATCTTTGAGTCTCTTGTATGTGCAGGCCCCTTACACTAGCAGTAAACAGAAAAGACCTAGTTCAAGCCCTCAGGAAGCTTCCGGTGCAATAAACAAATACATTAGAAGAGTTTTAGAAGGAGGCATTAAAAAATGTGATGATTTGGGATTTGGGAGTTCTCTTATTGGCTGGCCAGGGTCCCTGATAATGCAAGGAGGCCATTCGGGGAAACAGCAGAGGGGAGCACTCCTGGGGGCTGAGTCTGGTAAGGCTTGCAGGTTGGGGCGGTATGTTAGTTTGCTATCCATTGCTATGTCAAAATACCTGAGGTCGGGGAATTTATAAAAAATGGAAGTTTATTTGGCTCAGAGGAGAAAGATCACCTGGAATGCCTGTTTAGGTCTCTTAGATACTAGGCAGGAATATGGTGGTTCCCTAGTTAGGGCCTGAACCATTGGAAAGGCTGTAAAAGAAGTGAACAGCACTGTTCTTTTCTGCCCCTCCCCGTCTCATGGACATGAACAAGAAGCCTTGCAAGTGAATGTTTCTTGGCTATAATGAAGGACCTACTGTATGCCCAGCCCCTGTGTGGTACAGGCCAGCACACAGTGTGTCTGGAAAGACTCGCCTGAGTCAGCGGGCTAGGGTCTCAGTGTCTGGGTTGATCTTCAGCATCCTCCTGCTGCTGTCTGGAAGACATCTCTCGAAGGTCCCTCTTCATTTTCAGATGGCTTCATCCACAGTGGATTTTATGAGTTAGTTTTAGTTAAGATTTCTTAGTGTATTTTTGAACACGTATTTGTATTAGTGCATATTAACTTTACAGAATACTGGGTTTCGATGTTGCATTCCATTCATGTGCATCACATTCATTCCGCCATTCCCCCCCTTCACGCTGCCCAACCCCTTCCTTTCCTTTTGTCTAATGATAGTTTCCCTTCTCCTTTCATGTCATCTGTTTTAAAAAATATTTTTAGATTATGCATATCAGGGCAAACACATGATACTTGTCTTTCCGAGTTTGGCTTCATTCATTTAACATGATGATCTCCAGTTGCATCAGTTTTCCTGAAAATAACATAATTTTATTCTTTATGGCTGGAAAAAACCTCCAGTGAGCGTGCGTGCTCGTGTCTCTGTCTCATATTTTCTTTATCCAGTCATCTGTTGATGGGCAACTAGGCTGGCACCCTATCCTGGCTGTTCAGAACTGTGCCGTAGTAAGTGTATGTTTGCAGGCCTCCCTACAGTGCACTGACTG